GAGGTGGGCCAGTCCACATTTGACCCGCGGACCTTGAGTTAAACATTTGGTCTATGAATTTCGCTTTACAAATTTACACAAACATGGTTGAAAATGGTGAGTCTACATTCTAAAATTTGCCTGAGTACAACTCAATTTCGATGATAAATACAATCAGGTGACAACAACAACAACAACAACAACAACACAGAGGGCAAGGTTAACTCTGAAGCTACAGAAAGAAGCTCAGACATCTAAAGGGACGATAGATAAGAATTCCTTCTGGGTGTCTCTCTTTGGAAACTGCCTGCAAATGCTCGCCAGCTAGAAAACCGTGGGGTAGACTCAGAGCATGCTGGAGGAATTACATGTCTAATGTGGCTTACAAACACCTCCGGATGCCCCAGGAGGAGCTGGCAGACAGCGATAGGGAGAGTGACAGCTGGACTAGCTTGACCTAGCCTCGGGCAAGGAACAGTATGGATGCAGTTATTGCAAAAAGGGATCAAAAATTTCAAATGGTTGAGTTAAGCACATATGGACACTTTAGTGAGACTAACACACCTGCTAATCATAGTTTTAAAGACCAACAGAGAAAAATCCTGGGCATCACATGTTTGTTTTCCTGAGAAGTTTCATCGTCTGTGCCGGCGTCTCTCTGAGGGGAACCACGAGTCTTTCATGGATAAAGGAATCAGTGTAACAGTGGTGGTCGGCGCTGACTTGTGGCACGTAACGAGGGTCCACAGAGAGACACGAAGCCCACATCAGCACGGCGAGCCGAGGAGATAAATCTCAGAGACAGTCTCTCTCAGCGAATAAAAAAGAGGCCAACATGGTGAGCTGCAGTCAGCAGCTTCACAAAACTAGATTTTCAATAAAATCTACAATAAAACAAACTGAAAACACCTTAAAGACTGAAGAAACCGACAGTCAGTTTTAGTTTCCACCAATTAGACTATTTTTGTGATCGTAAGTTGATCGATTTCTGATTTTTATTGCTTTTAGCACTTAATATTTCTGCAAAGCATCTCAAACTGTTTCATTACAGTTAATAAAAAACAAAATCAGCATCACTTAAATCCTCTTTAAGTGACTCAGTCTTACAGTTGCTAATATGACACAGTTGTTTATGAATGTTTGCTTATTTCTGTTGATAAAAGAGGAGCTCTCCATCTCTGTAGCCCCCCCACCCCCGTCAGTGAAGCTACAGGATCCATGAAATATGCATCTGCTCTACAATCCATCTTGACTTATTAAAAGATAATAATGTGAAAAGATGATATATCTACATGAAAGGATATTTACCACCACTGTGAGAGAAGAAAATGCATCAAGTGCACAAAGCACAAACATGTTGACGGGTGTCTGCCTGCAGCGAGTCTTAATTGATTATCATGTCATGTCTGTCAGGCGCAGAGCACGGCAGCATTTATATTTATCAGCCAGTGAAACAATGGACATGTTAAGTCACGGGAACTACTTGCTGATGACAAATAGTGCAAAAACCTATTATGCATTACTGAGTAATCATCAGTAGTGTGAGTCTTATTGTTAAGAATGGGCATGTTTAAAACTATCTGTAACCGAGGCTGTGACTGGTCAGTGGGTGAACGAACACCTTYGTTTTTATAAATTTAATCCACAGTTTGATGTGATTCAGATTATTGCAGTTCACTTCTTTTTGACCTTCCACATAAAACCTGGATTATCACACAAACTCTTCCAATCCATCAAATCAAACCTATCCTACAAAAGCCTCATTGGCTTCCCATCATACACTCAAAAAACTGATTGTTGGATTTACTAGACCAAGTTGAATGGAAGTACTTGACATAACTTGGTTAAGTAAATCCAACAATCTGTTTTTTGAGTGTACTTCACTTCTACGTATCTCTGATCTCTTTCACATTGCTACACCCTTAGATCCTCTTCTTCTACCCGTCTCATCATGGCCCCCCGCCCATCTTGTTACTATGGGTTCACTCCCACATGATCTCTGTAACACAGACTCACWTTCACGTTTCAAATAAAAAACTGAAAACCCATCGTTTTAAACTGGCTCAGTCTGATTTTCTGCATTGTTCATTTTGTTTTTATTGTGTCTTTCATTACTGTGTCTGCTTTTATGTTTGAAGACGTACGGTGACCTTGAGTGTGGAGAAAAGGCGCCAATGAATAAAAATATATATTTTTTATTAATCTATCAATCGTTATCATTTATTATACTTTTGCTAAAAAAAAGTTTAAAAATGGCTCATTCTAAAATGTTTTGTCTTGAGTTGCCAGGCGGTAAAACAATAATCTATTTACATCAGTAC